GAGGTCTCCCCTCAGTCTCCGCATGAGAGACAAGCAGAGAAAAAAAATCTTTAAAAACAAGAGCTCATCATAATTTGGCCAACCTTCACTCATAGACCTTTTAAAATACTTTGGGATCATATTCCAATGATAGATAGAATTTTATAGATTCATGTTAAACTTCTCTATATTTTCTGCCAATAGTAGAAAATACAGTTACTATAAAGCATCAGACAATCATATCATATTCCCTCTCCTCTTCAGCTTTCTTACCACTCCTACTGGATTTTCCCCTCTACTAACATGTACAAAAAAATAATTGTGGCTACAAAACCCGTTGTAATTGATTAATTATCTTTAGGTAGATGACAAGCTACTAATTCTAAATCCCTACAGACCTGCCATCTTTTCACCCCAAAAGCTGCTTGAGATGGGATTCATTCTCCTTTGGTGGCATCTTTTAAAGATGACTTTATGAATAGCAGCAGTAGCCTGTAACACGTAACAGTGGTTAGCAGGAGGTTTTAAGAGTTGGAGTCACTTTATCTTCTCAGTTCCTCAGCAGAGGTATGTGATGCCTGCACACTCTCCTGCAATCACAAGAGGAGGATGTTTAAAGAAAAGGTTTCAAAGCCTCAAATCTAAATAGGTTCCTCAGTCAGATACAGCTGCAAATAACAGATCTAGAGAGAAATGGGGATTAATACTCTTTTCTTCTTTTGTTCTCCATTGACTGAGTTCTCTGACAAGCACCCCTGCATGTTCCCAGCCCCACTGAGAACACAGGAGTAGCACCTGCACCCCTCCTGCAGCTCTGAGGCATCGAGGAAGGGCAGCTCCCAAAGTTCAGTCGTGGCAGAATCCATAGTGGTAACACCTACTGCCTTTGCTGGATCCTGCCCTTGCTCCTCAAGAGGGAAAATTGTGAAACACATTGAGGTAACCTGGCATGACCTCCATGCAGCAGCACAAACACCACCTTGCCTTTCTTACTCACTGCTGGTCATGGCTTATAAATTCATATGGAATCAAGAATATTACAGGCCAAATTTCAAAGGTTCTTCCTTAATAAAAATAAAGTCACACCACCTCATCATCGTCCTGTTTGTGGAGTTAGAGGTGCAAACATTTTATGTGCAGTTTTTTCACAGACTTTTGCCATATCACTCAGATAAAGAAAATTCACTGCAAGCCACTGCTGTCATTTGGCACCATCAGTAGCTTCTAAATTCAGAAATTAGCATTCTAATGCACCTCTCTTACTACATGCATCACTGCCTGATACTCAAATTATGGCTACACTTAACACTACAATTTGTTGAATAAATAGTATTTTTAGTCAAATCTATACAAATCTAGATATTTACATATTGTTGTATAAAAAAACTGTAGGTTTGCCACTTTCATTTTATCTTAAAAATTTGAGATGTCCATATGAAGTCTTGAAATCATATTTTCTGGGCTATGCTACTTAGATAATTAAAAAAAAAAAAAAAAACACACAAAAAAAAAAAAACCCACAAAAAAAACCACCAACAAACCAAAAACCACAACAACAAACAGATCAGCCTCTCTGGCTGTGGGAGGTCTGCCCCAGGTCAGCCCCACATTCTGACACTGCTCCCCCTCGATTCTGGCACAGAGCACCCAAACTGCAGCAAAGAGAGTGCAGCCAGCACATTGCTGTGTTTGCTGACCCCCCGATATTGTACAATTACTACTTGGGAGTCACCCAAGGAAGTCCAAATATATTTGGGTGTAAGCATAGCACTCATTAGCCAGAAAGTGAATGAGTGCAAAGGTCATTTCTGAACTGGTTTAATGAGGGAATTCATCAGCAAAAGTTTTTACAACTTTCTAATACAAAGATTTTACTGTTCTTGTAGGAAAAAAATACTTGTCTTGCAGGACAGGAGAGCCAGCAAAGTAATACACTTATTTATTAATAAGAAAACCTTTAATTTTCTTATTAGTAAAATGTAAACAAAATAGACACTATTATCATGAATCAGTAATCTACATCATTTTATGGACAGTAGGTTTGCTGTAGAGTATTATTTGTACAAGGACCGTGCTGACAAGCCATTGATTACCAGTTGTTAGTAGACATACTTGCATAATATTCCAGACTCTCTTGAATTTTATCATCTCAATCTGACAAACAGCAATTACATTTTTCTAAAACAATAAACATACTTATTTCCTTTCAAAATAAACAAATAAACCCCAGCCTGTTTCCAGTAGCTATGAGGAGTCTGTGCAGGAGAATCAATAGCCTCCCTAAGAGGCATGGTATTATACCTGCAAACAATCACAATTTAAGAATCATCATTTGATGCTGTCACTGAGGTTGACAGCATTATGCCTCTTCTGCAGACTGAAGACTTCAGGCGCTGCGCTGAAGTCTTTACCAACAATTATTTCATTTGGGTGGTTTTAAGAAATAAAAACAACTAAATCAAACACAAACAAACCACACAGACACTTTCTGTTGTACTGAATTTATGGTAGGCAATGATATTTGCAAAAGGAAAACGGGACTTCCCCTTTTCCAATTATGAAGTGGTGTAAACTGCTCAAGATGAGCTACTGGTGCCCCCATGTGTTTAAGTGAGGTTTTTACTGTTGTCCTATGCATGTTATAATAGGCCTGAAATTTACATTATATGCTTATTCCCTTCCACTCCTCAGAAAAAGGAAAACAACTGAAAACCAAACAATAACCAAAAAAACAAACAAACAAAAATAGAAACAAACAAAAAACCAAACCACCAAAACCTTAAATAATGGCACAAAATTGTAAGCATTCATGGAAAGACAAAAAAAGTGTGGTCTCTTACTTCATAAATGCCCAACCTTACAGAAAAATTAACTTCTGTGTTTTTTTGCAGTGTTGAATGCATTTCTTTATTTTATTCTTTTGTTCTCTTTTAACGGAGATGCAGCCCCCTTGTTATCTATCGAAAGCTTGAATATAGCTCAGGAACAATAAGGACAGAAACACAGCTACTCATTAAAAATTCCTATTTTGATTTTCTATGTTTTCCAGTCTTTTTATAGATACTGCTATGTGATCCCAGTATAGCTTTCTGATAAGATGAATTAACAAGGAGAGTGAACATTATTAGAGAAATTAGACTAGTTAATACAAGTTTATTATGTTTTGGAACCAGGGGATGTACAGAAAGAAAAATCCATTAAGTGGCCAGCAAAAAACAGCTGCTCCCAAGACACCACTTTCAGGTACTAAAAACATTTTCACTTGACTCTGATCATGCAGGATCTGTTTGGCTCCTGCCACGCTGCTGTGCCATGCACCATCTGCTGGCTGCAGTACACGAGCACAGGGAATCAGCAGCAGAGTCCCATTCCTGGGACGTGGTTGTCCTATTCCACTTACCTGGCAAAGGAAGAGAGCTCTCGCTGCCTCTGCACCTCCCTGAACTTCACGGTAATTTCCCAGTACATTAAACTTTCTATCAGGCATTTTCTAGACACTACTCGTATTTTAGCAGCCTGATTTAACAGTAAATTGACAAATGCAAAGTTAAGGATTAAAAAAAAAAAAAAAAAAAAAGCTATGCGTTTATAGATTTTGACATAAGAAAAGGCAGAAATTTCTCACAATTAACAAGCTTTTTTAATCCATCAACAATAAAGCTGTATTTTTTTTTTTTAATTTATCAACAGGAAAACTATCTGCTCACTTCAAAAAGGGAGAATACGCTACTAAATATATTTTCTGAAGAGTGTCCTTTTTTTAGTTTTCTTTAGTATATAATATGTTTGTGACTGCACTTTCTACAGCCAAGTCAACCCTAAACTTTTTCAGGGGGGAAGGGATAGGGTGGGTGTGAAGGTAAGGATGGGAATGATCATGTATAGTTCCTTGCAACTTATCCACCCTCTGTTTTTTAGCATTTTAAAGTAATGATTAACACCAGAAAAAAATTAGAAAGCTGAGATGGAAAATGAGTGTGATCAGGAAATCTGCTTATGAACACCAATAATATTTTTATTGTGTATTAAATTATTAAGCTCTTATTCATGGAAATAACATGGAAAATGTTATTATAATAATCACTCAAATTTGAAAACATTTTGTTATAGTCAGGTTGCTAGAGTAAACTTGTTTATATTATGGCAGCCTAAATTTGTTTCCAGATTCCACAGCCATAAAAATTAATTTTTCCTGACAGTATGTTGCTTGCAAGTGTACAAATACAATGGGTGAATTCTTGGCCTTTTGAAAGTCAGTGGTACCTCTGGAGCTGTGGCTCAGCTGAAGCTGATGGCAATGACAGCTATCAACAGTGCTGCCCGTCTGTGCTGCTGGGGCTATTTCTGACCAAAACCCTTTGTTAAGTAAAACAATTTTCTGTAGGAACATACTAAATTTATTAAGGTCTAACTGACAGAGGGTTGTTTTTATGCTGAGATGCAGCATTTAGTCAAAATGAGAAACAAATGCATCCCAGAGCAGCCAGTCACAGTTTACTTAATTATGAGAGCGCAGGCATGAAATGAACCCAGTTGTAAAACTGGTCACTGAAACCTGCAGTCTGAAAAGTGGTTGGAAATCAACAATTCTGGCAGCTCAGAATTTCTGATAAATAATAAGCCTTTCACACCCAACTTTACTGTCCATTACTTTCAGGCAAAAAATCCCAATGAAGACAGAAGAGTAGCTCAGAAGAGCAGTTGGTGAATTACCACTTTTCCATGATGGTATTTATGATGAATACCCTGTTTTGCTGTGACACAATAATTCTAAAACCTCTTTCTTTCCTTCTCCCTTAGTTTCCCTTTCTATTATCATGTTGAATTTTTAAGCACTTGCACACAGAATTAATTATTAGCCAGTGCTAACAGTGTGAATATGCAATGGAAAGTCCATAGGTGAATACTTCAGAATGCAAAACCTTGTACAGACATTATCTAAAAACATAAAGGCTTATTTTTTCAGAATAAAATGCAAGTTTTAAAAAAATTAATCATATCTCAAAATAGAAATTAACTACCTTCAATGCTCTGTGGACCAACAAGATTCGTAGCCTGGTGTGCTGGATATTCTACCCGGGGTCTGGCAATGCCCAATTGCTCCATAACCCCATGGAGCAGCCTCTGAATATCTGCTTCAGTAACCCTGTCTGGTGTCCGAGGGCTGTGGCTAAAAGCTGAAGCCAATCCAAATGCCAGCAGAAATACCATGTTGCAAAGCAAGGTAGTTATCATAGTGGCAGCCACTTTCATCCTGTCAGAAAAGAAAGATATTTGGTTATAAATTATAGTGGGGGGGAAAAAGTCCTATACGTGTGGTGGAAATAACAACTGATCCTACTATTGGACTTCACAGTTTATTACCACGGTTTCTAGGGGCTGCTGGCACTCCAGCCAGCTGGAAACTGGGTGGGGGGAGCCAGGGAGGGAAAAGGGTGGATATGTTCTTCTTCTCTAAAAGAAATATTAAGCAGCAAACTACAATACCAATTTGCTGATTTGCATTTTCCCATAATATTAATTAATAGTCATTGCAAACAAAATGAATCCACTTTTTCATTTGACAGAAATACATCATCCACTCCACCATCCACCCCCTCCATGTTTATTATGCTATTTATAAAGCTCTGGTCTAAAAGCTAAGAATTCTTCATTCAGGAACTGTGTTTTCCTGGATGTGTTTTAGGCAATATTCCTGTATTGCCTAAAAAACCAACAATAAGAGACTGCCGAACAACCTGGATATATTTTGTTTGCACCTTAAAACAAAAGGCTTTCGATATCACATGCACCGTCTTTCTCACCTGAAGCAAATCGGTTTCGTTTGTTTCCTTGAATCCCTCTCACTAAATGGCTGTAGTTTAATTAGGAACACCCCCCCAAAACAACAACAACAACAAAAAACCCATAACAAGCAAGTACCACTTACTGTCCTCTGATAGGCTGAATTTTAATCAGAATGTTTGTTTTCTTAAAGCTCCTTTCCCTCTCACACCAGAGACTGATTAAAATGCATCACTTCCAGTCCCCTGGATAAACAAAACCCGCCTCGAGTTCCCCTTTTATTCCTTAACACACGCACAGCTCCCTGATTTCTCCACGCCAGACGTTTAAAGATGCTCCAATGCTCCAGCCTCCGGCGCAAGGCACCTGGAAACGTTTTTGAGGCAAAAATGGCTGAAAACGCCAACGCTGGGAATATTCCCCGCTACGCCTGTGCGCGGCTCCCCCCCCGCGCCACGCTCCTCCCGCAGCCCTCCCGCTCCATCGCCCTCTGCAGCCTCCGCCTCGGAGCAAAAATCTGCTTTTCACAGAGCATCCCCGCCGGCCCCCGCACGGCTGGGCTGTAATCCCGTCCCTTCTCCCGGCCCCGGGCAGCCCGGTAGCCGCACGGAGCCCCCGGGCCGCAGCACCGCTCACCTCCCGCTCCCAGCGCGGCGCTGCGGCGGCTCCGCGGCCGCGCATCCTCCGTGCGCAGCCACGGCCGGGAGGAGCTGCCCGCGGGCACCGCCGCGACCGAGCGCTCCTGCGGCGCTTTGTCCCACAGAGACACTTAGCTGGGGAATACTGAAAACCTCCCTTTTTACCTTAACAGTCTAGAAATGAAACTGAAGGGTTTTGATGCATTAAGAGTGACAGAAATAAGGTATTATATATTCCTGGGAGAGTATCCATCTTCCTGCTGTGATTTCTGTCTCCAGAATAATACGATCAGTGGTTTACTTACAGGATGATAGATAGGTTTACACGGTAGCAACACAGCAACCATCTCCAATGTCTTGCAGGTAAATGGCCCCAGATTACGCAAATGCAGACACATCATCCAGAGCAGAAGTAATTACTGAAGTGTCTTGATAAATTAAGTCTGTCATCTAACACAGCACTTGGCAAAATGGTAGTTTCGAAAGGTTATTTTTTTGTATCACACCTTCACTGTTAATGAGGGGAATGCATGATATTCCAGCTTAGTATAGCTACCCACAGAAAAACTGAGCTTATACCCCATAAACCACAACAGTCCCATGAACTACATTTGCACATGCAGTTTTTTGGGGTTTTTTTGGAGGGGCTGGTCTCTGGTACATTATGCAAGGTATAACTAAGTTTTTCTACTACAGTTTTCTTTGTCAGGGCCCTACTAAATTCCCCCTAAGAAGCCAAATTTAGATGTTTCAAGACTAGCTTGCATGGATGATCAAAAGTAGCTTACTGCTCCACATAGGATAGACACATTGTTAATATGTACCAAATATTTTCAATGCTAATGCAGCTTTGACAATCATGTGTCTTAGTCTTCTAAACAAAAATCAGTGTGAAACCTCACTATTACAGGAGTCAGACCACATTTTCTTCCTGACACTGCCTTTATCTCCTGTCCGATTTCCAGCACCTACCTCCTTGCATCAGCCTGACAGCTGGAAGCTGTTTTGCTGATCCTTACTTACCTCAGTGAGATGATTCAAAACACAGTGCCCTGGTGCCTGCTCAGCCTATTGAGGGATCTGCTAATAACCAGCTAAAGGCAGAGATTAAGAGCATGTTGCCAAGAGAAGCAGCTTCCTCTTTGGATGGTGGTGAACTGCTTTATTCACTCCTTTACTTCATGAAAATGAAGCTTCCCATTCTTAACCACCCCAGCAAGCAATCTGGTCAAGATCTTCATGTGGCTGGCTGCCTGTGGTATTAGATTTTACAGCAGTGTAGCAAGAGGCAGGAAGTTTCCACAGATGGAGGAGCTGAACCAATTCAACTTGCAAGATGGTGGATACATGGGGAAGGAGACAGGGAAGAGAAAAGAACTATTTTTTTTGGCTAACGTATTCTTTTAAGTCAGAAGACTTCTGCTGATAAACTATACTGCATCATGCCTTTTGATAGTTGTGAGAATTACCAATACATACCTCAGATGAACAAAAAGGACAGCCAGAACAGATTTACTTCTGGCTTCAGTATTTTCAGACTTACTAATCTTGGTGTCTACAGTCCGCATATAACAGCATAATCTAACTTTCCAAGTCATTATAGAAGAACAAGCTCAGAAAAAGGAAAAAAACAATGGTTTTATTAAAACCAAAAGTATCCAGTGCTTCAGCTCTAACATTTTGCCAATAAGCAATTCACACATATAAAAAGCTAATGAACAGTTTCAAGTGTTTACTCAAATAATTTTACAACTGATGAAAGACAGTTTTCATTCCAAAAGATGTAAACATTTGCTTGTGCAAATCAACCTTTAACACACTATGGCTTCTTACATTCATCTCTTGCAACACTTTCAGCATCTCAACTCAGCTTCTGCACCACTTAGTTAACATATTTCTACAGCTCTAAAAATAAGTTAAAACTCCCCTCTCATATTAAGACAAAACATTTTATTACTCATAAATGAAAATACTTGGTACCTATTGCAGAACACAACACTGGATGAAGTTTTAAGACCCTTCAATTCTTGAATAAACTGCACATTAAGTTTCCATGTGTTCTTATAATTCTCCTGTGTGTGTGCACACATGGATTATATTTTGACGTTTACCTACTAAACAAGTAAAATATGCTCCCAATTTACTCCAACAAAAATTCAAAACATTGTCTCAAAAGAAATAGAGCTCATATGAGGTTCAACTGAGTCGTATCAAGGGGTGCTACACTACACTTAAAACTAAAAAAGTAAATAAATTTAACTGCTAATGCTCAGCATCAAAATACTTCCTTTCATATGTCTGTTAAATTTGTTTTAAATAGTTGAGAAATTGTTTTTGAACTTGATACTTATTCTAAATACTGCAAGAACAGTTGTGGGAGATGCAGCATGTTTTTAGACGCTGAGATAATCAAAACCTGAGATCTAACACAAACATTTGTGTTAGATTATTTACATATTAAGAGTATTTGTTTTATAAATCAAATTAATTTAGTTGAACTGACTAGCATTTAGAGAGGTTTCCGTAAATTAAGAAAACCTCAACACTCAACATGAAACAAATTGCTATTTGTACATCTTCACTACTCATTCATTTAAAACAAATGAAATATTACAAACAACAATAACTAGAAAAAGATCATAAATTTAGATTTTTCCCAAGGTTAACCAAGTTACAAAGAACCCATTTAGCCATCACATTTGATCTTATAAGTCTACTGGCTTGGCAGTTGGTAGTAGTTTTACTTCAGATATTGGATTCTTTGGAGAGCCTCTATAACGAACCCTTTCTTTTCCTGAACCACTTCTTGCAATCATAGATTTTTCTGGTGCAGCACCTGGAACAGTTATATTTGCATTAACTTTCAAACTGGATTTAACAATTTCATGATTGGTTAGATCTTCTAGAACGGACTTTGATGGATGAACAGTTGCTTTTTGTTCACGGATTCCAACAGTTCTGACAGAACCATCAGGCTTGTCTGATGGATTTAGTGGCCTGTACCATGATTTGGATGCTAAGTCTAGTTGCTTACGAGATACAGAAACTTGGTCATGTGTGCTTTCACTCCTGTGTGGCAAAAGCATGGAATTCTTTGAGGGCTTTTCTGTGCAGGGGAATAGGGCAGAATCATAGCTCAAAGATTTAACAAGAGGTGAACCAACACCACTTGATTTAACCGTCTGAGAGCTTACAGATGGTCTGTTAGCCTCCAAAAGGGAATTAATTCTTCTTATAGACTGTCTAACTGGAGTACGTTGAAACTTCAGAGGCGGTTTCGTTTTGCTTGCAGAATTTGGATCATTTAATGAAAGCTGATTGAACCACTGTATGTGGTCAGAAACCTTCCCATGGTCAGAAACAGTTGATGTTTTAGTTAAAACTTTACCCGAATTTTCATCTTTCAAGTATTGGCCACTCATTTCGTTTTGGGATTTAGGCAACTGCGGAGTAGGCAGCTGTCCTGCCAAAGAAGGTTTAGCAGTACCCCCTTCCGAATCACAGCACTTTACCATACAGTTTTCAGCTGTTTCTGAGTGTATTAATTCTATTTCCTCTTTTCTTGCAGAGAAATCTGATTTGTGTAAATCATCTTTTGTTGAATTGTTCTCAACAGTAAACTTATCTTTCTTGGCTAGTCCTTGAGGCATAGGAAGTTCTTTTACTTTTTTTGTATCTGGCTTTGGGACCTGAAGTTCAATCTCAATAGAAGTTTTGAAGTTTCTTTTCTCCAAAATGTCAATTTCCGCTTTTGATTGCTGTTTATCAGCAGCAGAAGATGGATTAAATTGGTGCAACAGCTCTCTGGATTGTACATTTGCTAGATTTTCAGAAACTTCTTCCACTAACAATTCTTTCACTGAACTGAGCCCTGAGGGACACGGAGTTTCATTTAATATTTCACTTGGTACAACTGAGAGGGATGATTTTTTATCACCTATCAAATTGTGAAGAATACTCCCAGATGCAGAGAAGGCTTCCTTGACTTTCAGTAATGTTTCTGTAGTTTCATCTTCACACAGCACAAGTTCCAAGTTGTTGTCTTGTTTGCTTGCAGTTGCAGAGTTGAATTCATCTGGAATAACTGATGGCTTTCCAAATATCAAAACAGATTCTGAAGAACTGACAGATTCTGAAGAGTGACTAGGCAGAATTTGCTCATTCTTGCTGACCACCTGAGAATCCTTAACAGCAGGACTGTTCCATGACATTTGGTGAGCTTCTTTATTGTGACATTTTGGAGTCAGCAAGTTTTCTTCTGACTTGCTTACATTCCTTGAACCTTAAAATAAATACCACAGCATTTAGGAATAATTTACTGCGATCTTAATAACTACAGACAAAATTCTAACTAAAAAATAATTATCAAAGCAGCACTGAATTTAAAGATGCCATTATGCCCTTAAATTTCAGAAAAGTAAAAAAAGGTTAGAGTATTAAATGAGAGGAGATGCCCAATTTCACTTAACTAAGAGAGCTACTAAAATACACTAGAAACACAACAAGCTTGTTCTAAACCAATTCTTTTTCCCAAACATAACATACAAGTGATTTTTGACTTAGCTAGAAGCATACTTTTAATCCAATTGCTTTTATACTTTTATCCATAAAGTTGCTTTTGCAAAGTAAAAAAAAGTTTTCCCCATCTAATATATTTGGTTAGGCAATCACCTTTCTTAGGGAATTTTTCATTGACATATGGGCTGAAGAGTACATCTCTTCTTGCACATTCAGTTTTGCTTTCCAAACCTTGCTGACTTGCAAGACGCCGTCCAATATTTTCTGATCTATTGCCAGCTGCACATCCTGATACAACATTCTTGAACAAACAAAAAGTGTTAATTGCTTTTATATAAACTTGTAATTTGAAATCTCATTTACAGAGGAAGCTTCAGCAAACCACTACACAAATCATCCACAGCAGCCTTTTCTTGGCTGTACTTCCTCTTGCCTTGAGTCTCTGCAGACCTAGGTGGAGAACAGCCTCCCTGCAGTCAGGCAGACTTAATCACACTGTGAACAGAGAGACTCTGTGCACAGGCTCTGCCAGGTCAGACACTCAGGAACTGGGAGACCCGCTGATCACAAGCGTGGTGGGTTGATCCATACAGGATGCAAAGGTCATCACTTACAACAATCAGGCCAGTTCTCAGCAAGCCTCTGAGCAGTGGCTACTTTCCATAAATTATCCCCGTCCCAGTTTTACTGGTGAGCTTAACATTACATGGCATGGAATTCCTTCTTGGTCAATTCAAGTCAGCTGATCCCTCCCTCAGCATCTTGCCCCATGCCAACCAAACACAGTACAAGCTGTTAGTGCTTGTATGCAGTAACTGCATAGCTGTTACCGCTATGCAAATAAACCTCAAGCTTCTTGTACTTGACAGCAAGCAGGTTCAATTAACACTTGAGACTCCTCCATTACAAAATACATCCTTCCTGCTCCTGAAAAGCAATGCCCCAAACTTTGGAGAGGACTAGGTACTTACCATTTCTCTGTTGCTTTTCCCCAAACCAAATTTCAAGCGTAAAGATCTACGAACCATTTCTTTTCGGCTTATCTTTGGAGAAAAACAACCTGTCTTTCCTGATTCAGCTCTGGAAGGACATAAGAGAGGAAGGGACATAAACTCTTTAGGAGGACAAGGAAAACATCCTGACATTTATTTACAGTTATTTCCTCCAGTTTTACATATTTTATTGCCTTTTTGCCCACCTTTATTAGGCACAGAAAGCTATACCAGATCCTATTTTGTTTTGAGCTTAATTTTGCAACATCAGAAGATCTGGTGGTTTTAAGATTACTATAAAAATGTACCAAAACCAATAATTTTGGAGACAGATTGAGGTCATTATTCAAGGGGTCTAGACAAATGTCTCCGATTTATCTTTAGGTTTTGAGAGTTAATTACCTGTATAGTTTTTTGCTTGCAAGTCTTTTACTTCTTCTATTTCCTGTACTGGACACATTATTTTCACCCATGGTTGAAGGAGATAGTGAGGTTTGTGAAGATTCAAGACATACACAAGGACTTGCTTCAAACTGAACTACAGGGACAAAATTGTATTTATATGAACTTAAAATAGTCACATTTTTTTCAGATAAAGACAAGTTAAAGCAATAAAGAACAGGTTTTTCAACAGCACAATTTTTTTGCTTATTTTGTACAGCGCTGGCTTGAAATTTGATTTCCACCTTTAAAAAAAGCTGTTGCTTGTAGCATCCATAAAAGCAGCTGGACTGCAATTAATTACACGCTACAGATATCACTACCTCAAACAAGTTTCCACAGTATTATCATCAGATCACTTCCTCAAAGTTAAGAGCTCAAGAAGAAAAATTAGACATAGTCTCATTATTATTTGCAGTCTTATTAGACATAGTCTAATTATTATTTGCATACCTAGCCAGAACAGCTGAAGCAACAACGAAGAAAATGGTTGCGTTTTTACTACATTTATGCATTCCAAGTCAGATAATTTTATGAAAGATATGCATCACTGCTATCTTTAAAAATGTCATTACTTTGGTTTGCTTATCCAAAGAAACTAGAATTTCATGGAGAACGTGAAATGATTTAATGAGACAAGCACTAAGTCTTATAACAGTCATTTGAAGGTAAAAAAAAAAAAAAAAGCAAAACAGCCAATCTAGAAAAATCCTTCCACCCTAACTTCAGTTGGCAGCACATTAAAGAATGAAATAAACATAAAACAGGATTCTCAGAATAGCCTGATGGTTAGAAGCCCTCTAGTAGAATAAAATGGTACTAAAGCATTGTCAAACAAAAGTAGAATTTTCTCCAGATTTTTGAGATGTAACATCTAGAGGAAAAACAAGAGGTGATAGGACACAAGAAAGAAGCTTTATAAAAGCAACAACTACATTTCTCATAGAGCTTAGATCAGCTATTTAAGCATTTAGAACATAGAAGGCTACAAGTTTCAAAAGGTTGGAAGCATAGGCAGTCTTCATGGATTTGTGCACCAAGAAAGAAACAGGAGTATAACCTGAGTGATCATAGAGAGCAAAAAAGGTAAAAGGACATCAGGACTGCAACTATGAGAGATTAATAGAACAAAAAAAACAAGCAAGAGAATTCGGCTTTTGCTCAATCCCTGTAAATGAGTCGCAATGAACATACACTATTTACCAAGATGGGGAAGTAGTGCAAGGAACACTTGAGCAATAAGCATCAATGACAGACAAACAAGAACAAATAGCTCCACTCTTAAATTAAGAGCCACCAACAATCACTATAAGCAGCAAAGAAAACGTCATGGCACTGTACCTGATGCTGGTGTTGAGATGCTGTTAAATATGCTACTTGGTAAAAACTCAAAGGCAAAATTATGCTTAAAAGAGCGTCTCTTCTTGCTGGACAAGCCCTGAGAGCAATCAGCTGGAAGTTTCCGCTTGGTACTTGGAGTAAGGACCACTGGAGTCACTGATGAAAGGACTGAAATTAAGGAAATCAAATTTGCAGTAATAGGTTAAAAGTTGGAGAGGTTGTTTTGAGGCTTTTTTTTTTAACTTTGAAAACCTTGTTGCAAAAGCTTAGCCAAAGTGCATGCATTTTGAACAGGCAAAGCAATCAGTATAGCTAAGGGTTTGATTTTTTATTTTGTTGGGTTTTTTGCAAGTTTAGAGTACCAGAAAGGAAAATCCAAACCCACAGATCAATCAAACAATACAGGTATTAGGAGGAAGTAAATGTATAGTCATCTGCTGAAAGTTTTAGAGAAGTAAGTGTGAAAGAATTTTTGTCCTTGCAGATTCATTCCAAGGATAATAAAATGCTGCACTACTGCACTGAAGCCTTAGTGGGTCATTAGCTAAAAAGCACAAGTTTGGCTGGGTAATCCCCAGAGCTGAACCACACAGCCCACTACTGCAGTGATTGTAGCTGCTCCAAGAATTACGGTAAATGCAGTATCCTCAATAAATATGTATCTATATTCCATTTTAAAAAATTTAATCACTTAGCTTCAACTAAGTTCTAATTATTTAATTTCAAAAAAATATTGAATATAGTTAACAAATCCAGAAGATACTGCATGGGCTTTACTCAGTACAAATACACCAGTACCTACCGCTTCTGTCTTGTTGAGGTGTAGTGGAGGGTGTTCTGTTAGATTTAAATTTATTCAATGCTCCACTAACAATATCTGAAATGCAAGACACACCGAGCAATCAAATTTAAATGTGAAGCCTGTCTTGCTCTATTTTCAACTCATATTTAACTCTTTTTTTTAGTGAGAAAGAAAGCAAATCAGTTTAAATGGTTGTTTTATGTACAAAATATCATAACCCAGATCCTTCCAACAACATAGTTTTTATTGCTTTCACAATAGCTAAAGAAATCCATTTTCCTTAAAAAAATTATTTTAAAAAACCAAACAAAAATCCCAACAGAGCAGAGGAGTACAATACACAAAAAAAAATATGTCATGGCCTACCATACAGTCATATAACCTTAATTTCAACTACTGTCAGGTTACATGAGCTAAATAAATACCTATGATTTTATAACCACACAAAAGAGAACTCGGAATATATCATTTGATTGTCCATAACTGGCAAAAAACCCACCTTAACCCTGTTGAAAACTGAAAAATCCTCACCCAAAATCCCAGATCTATGATACCAGAGCACACAGTATCCAATAATACCCAATTCAGATTTACACTTCAAAACACAAATTAGCCACGCTAATTCAAAACACACTTACCATTTGCATCCCTGGTTTCTCATGACCCGGCTTCTCAAAGTATATATTAACGTACCATTTCAAAATTAGAAACAACAACAACAAACAAACCCTTTAGCCTTCTGCAACAGGATCTGAAGTTGACTCAACAAGAAGCCAGAATATTAATTTGGCTATAAAAATCCAAAATAGCTTCTTTAATAGACAACAGAGCAGAAAACTGAGTAAATATACAATAATGTGACTACTGAAGTCTTATATACATTTTTCAAATCAAACCCAACCAGTTTTGAAGACATCTGTTCTGTGTGTGGAAGAAGGAAGTGCTTAGGATCAGACTACTTGAAGTCTCAGTTCTGTTTTTGGTTTTGAAAGTTTCACAAAACATACCTACCCCCAACACTTCGGTGCCTCCTCCTCTTACATTCACTGGGAGATTCATTTTCACTGTCTTCCTGGCCCCACAGTGAGGGAGTAGATTGAAAGACATTAACACCCAACATTGCAGGAATCTTTTCCAAGATAAATTCTGGTACTTGTCCTGGAATAGTTAAATATTTTTTTTTAATGATTCTTAAAAGTTGAAAAGAAAAGCTGTACACAGGTTGTTCATTGAGACACGTTGATAAGTGTTTATCATCTTACCTATTTCCTCTGCATGGTCAATAAGTGTTTCCACAACAGCAGCTTGCAAGCGAATTTTTTTTTCTGTACTACTGGACATCTTTTCATTTTCATTCGAGTGCAAGAGGTTAGGAGCAAAAATCACTGCCAGATTACTGCTATCCATTCTGTTTTCATTGGATCTTAACAAAAATAAGGCTTTTTAAATTCAAATTATCAGAATATAAACAGTGGAGAAAAAAAAGACCAAATAAGACAAATGCAGTTAAAAAAACTAAAACGGACTCATTCACTGGAGTGCTTATATACCAAGATTAATGTATACATTTATGCATTCCAAGTCAGATAATTGCACGACTATTTTACTGAAATCAAGAAGTTATAGATCCTCCCTCAATTTTAGGGAATGCAAGGTATCAAATTATGGTAATTCTGCTGAACAAAGTCAAGTGTCCAGTTTATTAAGTTTTCTTCAAGAAAACTGTGGATTTATGAAATAAAATACTATGACTGAATTAAGTGAATATCTGCAGATATGAAAGTTAAAAATGGCAAACCACTCACAGAAAGTTACAGCACTTGCCTGGACAGAGAAGTAGTTAAGGGAATTCAGAGCTGTTTACAAACACGTTCTTTACACTGACCTTAAGGACACAGTTCTCAGAAAGTTGAAAAAGTATCTCAAAGCTGCAATTGTTCTGTCAGCCATCAAACAGGACAGCAGCATGGTTGCAGTTTTCTTCTCATTTCCAAGCTGCTGAGCTTTTAATAGGCCTTCCTGCAGGTGAGGTGGAAGGATGGGTTCTGGCAGCTCTCTAAAGAACTGTTTGAGAAGCCCTGCAACATCACATGGCAGTGCAGCTGAGAGGCAGTTTTCACCTTGATCCAGTTTGCTCTGAAATTTTTCGTAAGAAACACAATTTAAAGTCTTCAACATATTGTCAGATTTCTAAATTTAGGCAGTAAGGCTGTAGCCCATGTCACAACAGACAGCCATACCTTCCCAATTGTTAGTTTCAGCCTTGTCATGTTTTATTCAACTACATTATATACAATGAGACACGGGCAATGTTGTCAGACATGTATTAATTTAGAGTTTTCCCATCTTCCCTCCACCAGGAGAACACTGCCAAACAAATATCCTCATAGCATCCAGTGTGCACAATTACTAATGAGTTTGTTAGGTCCCAACTATTCTCATCATCTGGAAGCCAAAATATTTAAAAGATAAAAAAAAAAAAAGGGGGAAGCCTGTCAGCTTCTGGACTAGATCTCCTATCTTCTAGAGCAGGCAATGTTACCAACTTGAATATGACTGAAAAAGAGTCCAAAAATTAAAACATGAAAAGAGTCCAAAAATTAAAACATGGCCAAGTGAAAATGCAGCTTATTAAGGAAAAAAAAGAGCAGCTTTAGAGATACCTTTAAGGCTTTTAAGCGAACAAGAGATCCAGACTTTCTGAAGAGCCCCTCAGTATGAATGTGTTCTTCCAAATATCCACATGTATCAATGAGAAAGCTGAGAAAAGAACAGCAACAGTTATGATACTCAGAATAAAGCTTGGGCTTTTTCCACAAAAACGATTTCATCATTTTTTGTAAGACTTCATATATAGAATAATTTTCCCAAATGACAAGAGTATAAAAAAATACAGCTGAATAAGAGCTCTGGATTCCCTGTCCAACTTCTGCATCCCTCCTTTTCCACCTGGAACTATTCTTATATCCCCCAGAAGCTCTAGCAGGCATGGAACAAATATTACATTCCTTCTTCAGACAAGGGTCAGAAGATATACAGAAATATTACATTTCTTCTTCTGATATAAAGAGAGCAAAGTAAAATCTAAAAATACATTGTTAATTTACCTTGGAATATAACCATATTCTGGCACAAGTGATTGTGGCAACGCATGAAAAGATATTCCAAAGATTTTACCCTGAAATACAAAATTCAAATCATGTCATTCAAAAGTTGATATAATTATCAACTATATAGTACAAAGAAGCACACATTCCACAAGTAGACATAAGGGTAGTTAAGACAAAAAACAAAGTCTTTCAGATAAGAGGCATTGTCTGGAAAAGCACTATCATCTCCAGAGATCTAAACCTGATTCTAGACACCCTAGATGATTGTGAAAGAGTAGAAACCTTTTCTGCAGTGTGTTTTACACTTCTTATTTTACAAAAAGTTAATTTTCTTGTAAGACTCACCAATCAGTAAAGGATATGAACCAGATTGTTTGGGAGTCTCATGTTAGTTTTTCAAATTATCTATACCTTATTTTTCTTAAAAATCAACCCAAGACAATTTAAATACCTTTTTTTTCTTTAATAAATTTTTCTTCATCTCAGACACTCAAAGGTTAAACTGTTGAGTTTAACCTTTTGGGAAGGGTTAAACTCAACAGAACAATCTAGACAACTGTTCTGAATGTCTTATTTAGCACTTGCTCTTAAAAAACTTATCTCTACCGCCTTATAGGAAGACATTAAAGTATGTTACATGTTAGAAAAATAAGTAAATCTCATCAGTCATTACTACTGATGTTCATCCACAGCATCAACAACTTCTACATCCTGCAATTTCTACTTTATTTTTTTATATTCCAGTTTACAGAACCTGCAAGCCAGTCCCTCTCCCAACCAGAAGAGGACTGGGATTATGCCCAACTTGTTCTTAGAGCTGAATGCAAATTTAGTCTCTTAGCTGAAATTCAACATGCTGTCCGTGTTAGGAAAACGGTTAATCAGTAACTAACCCCTTGCACTTAATCTAATCTGTCCTACAGAAAACAAACATAACAGAGTCAGGAAAGAGAAGCAACACATCTGTCATTGTGTTCCAGGCTGCTAGTGAAGCTACAAAAAGAAAATTAACTCCAAGAGAGAACGTTTCTTCCGTATGTACAAGATTACGTAATAGAAAACTCCAGTGGTTTGGAATTCAACATTTAGAATTCCTAACTGATATCCTCACTTCGCTAGGTTTTGTTTGATGTATCAGAAGTTGTGACTTCATTTCTTCTTCTTAATAAATAAGCAAATAAAATTATGTCTGTATTCTCAGAACAGAAATAATAAGGCATTCCTTGGCAAAACAAATGTTATTCTGTAGCTTTTCCTACCTTGCTCAGTAGTTAGGTACACATTTTCTTCCTTGCATACAATTTAAGCACTACAGACAGCAACAAGGACATCTTTTACCAAGACATACATATATTGTTCACAGCTCTTATCATCTTCCCTTCAAATGGAAAAGTCTAGAAACCATGTATTTGACACTAACAAGGGGAAGAAAACTAGTTCTAACTTTTCCCTTGCTTTCTCCCTTTCCAAACAACCCAGTTCAAGCATGTCTTCCCAGCTTCTTTAGTTTATATTGCCAAGGATTACTGCAGCATTGTGTGGTGACTTCTCAGTCTTACAGAAAGCTCAGTCTCAAGACGTTTAGCTCTGTGCCATACCAGTTGCACAGAGATCTTGTTTAGGACTTGACCATGCTCCACATTTTATAAATTAAAGTGTCTACCAGAAGATCAGTATTCTCTAACGGATCTCAGTGCTGGCATCCATTATAATAAGTCAATTTTAAATAACAGTCCTGAGACAGAAAACACTTTTTTCCTTTATCATATTTAAGGCAATGGGAGAGATTTCATTCCTGAACCACTGGCAAATTAAGGCAAGAGCTGTCTGTCCCAAAATACGTAGTCATGCCTTATACTAAGAAACTAGGCAAATAAAGCCCTTCAAAAAAACCAAAAATCTAAGAAACAAAGCTTTTCTTAGACACACACCTTTTAGAAACAACACCGTAACTATATTCCAAGAAATAATACAATTACTAAGATTTGAGTTCTGTGGTGAGTGACATCAATCGCAGTGAAGCATAAAATGCTCTCGCGGGGATCAGAGGCGCCCGTGCGCGTTTCATGGCCAGCAAGCCCGCGGACAAAAGAGGAACACAGCTCGCTCGCCAGCATCTCACTCGAGTGCCGAACTGCCGGGGCGGGACAGCCAGCGCCACGGAGCCGCTGCCCTCCCGAATCACAGCACGGCCATGGAACGGCCCCGGGGCGCTTGCAGAGTGCAGGAAAGCGGGAAAAGCTCTTTTCCCCAGGGCAGGAGGGGATGCCCTGTTGGGGGCTGACAGGAGCCGCGGCATTACGGGAACGGCGCTGCTGCGGAACCAGCGCTGCCGGCGACAGGAGCAGCCGCCGGACCCGTGCGAGCTTCGGCTCTGCCCGCCCGGGAAGCGGAGCCCCCTGAGCTCCCCCCGCCCCGCTCACCTCCGCCGGGGCAGCTCCCGGTGTCTTGGCCACCGCCAGGCAGCTCCCGCTCTTCACCTTGATCCCGTACGCAGCCCGGAGCTCCTCCAGCACGGCCAGCCGCACCAGCCTCCGCCTCTGCTCCGCCATCCCTGCGCCCCCCGCCCGGCCCGGCCCCGCCGCCCCTCAGAGCCCGCCGGGCGCCATGGCGGCCCCGCTGCCGCCGGACAGACCGCGCGCGGCCCCGCCCGCGCCGTGATTGGGCCGCTCGCCGTTCGAAATCAGGCCCCGCCCGCCCAACGGCCACGCGGGCTGCCCGCCGCGCCTGCTCCGAGCGCCGCCTCTGAGCCCGCCCGCCCAAGGCCCCCGCGCGCCGCTCCCGGCGATCGCGCTGGATGCCTAAGGGCCGGGAGGGGCGCGGCAGTGGGAGCGGCTCAACGCTGCGTGCCAACATCTGTGTAATCCTTCCATCCTCACATCTCTGCCTCAGCCCTGCGCGCCCACATCTGTGTAATCCTTCCATCCTCACATCTCTGCCTCAGCCCTGCGCGCCCACATCTGTGTAATCCTTCCATCCTCACATCTCTGCCTCAGCCCTGCGCGCCCACATCTGTGTAATCCTTCCATCCTCACATCTCTGCCTCAGCCTTGCGTGCCCGCATCTGTGTAATCCTTCCATCCTCACATCTCTGCCTCAGCCTGCGTCCCCACATATCTGCCATCCCTTCATCCTCGCGTCTCTGCGATCCCTCCGTCCCCGTATCTCTGCCTTAGCCCTGTACCCTCACATCTCTGCCATCCCTCCATCCTCACATATCTGCCATCCCTCCATCCTCACATATCTGCCATCCCTCCATCCTCACATATCTGCCATCCCTCCGTCCCCACGTCTGCCTCATCCCAGACACGTGCCCGCCCCTTGCCTCCTCAAGTGCGCAGCGGTGCCGAGTTTGGGGATGGTTCAGTTGGTCGGTCACTCGGTAACATCTTGTCTCTTTCTCTGAAAATAAGCTTCAAATAAAAACAGCTGCCCACCGCAGTTTTGGGGGTAAACTGGACTCTTCCCCCGTACCTGATAGCCGAGGCATGTCAGGTATCAGCACAGAAAAACCCTTGAGGTTCTTCCCATCTGCTTCCGTCATTGCGACTGCTTTCCCCGGCATTACCTGAGTTCTGTGCATGTCTGCCCGAAGCGATCCATTATTTCCACCATTTTCTGCTGACAAAGCAACACTCCACAATTTAAGTTACATTTGAGCCATTAGCAGCAAGTTTGGCTTGTACTTTCTAAATTTGGGTTCCCTTGCCCGTTCCATACAGGAACTCAGACACCTCGTGCAGCAGAGTCATTCACCCTGTTATTATAGGAAGAACATCTCCCTTTTTTCCCTGGTGTTTTTTTGTTTGGCTTTTTGGATTTTGTTTGTTTTTTGAGTTTTTATTCTATTCTGAAGTAACTCTTCAGGTGCCAACAACACTACAGTTAACCAAATTCCGTGTAGCGAGAAAAAGGCACTGTACAAAAAATAAGCTTTCCAGCTTTTTCAAGTGTTCTGTTACTAGTTCAAAAGCGAATCTTACTTCACTGAGAGAAAGACTAAGATTACCACAAAGCTTAGACACAGCTAAGCTTTGTGGTAATAACAAGCTCCTTACAGTGCTCTGAGCACTTAGGGACACAAATGCTAGAGAATAAAAAGAGAATAGCTAAAATTTTTCCAAATGTCAGCGAAATGTAAACCCTCTCACAAATTATATAGAAGAAAGACTTAGTAGCAGTAATAAAAAGCAGGTTAGATACAATTTTTCTTAAGTAAACCCCCATGATTTTGATTATGGATGTCAAAATCATGTTATTGTACAAAAGTAATATTCCTCTAAATGCCATTTTAGTTTAACCTTAATGTAAGTATTATTATCTGTCCTGGTATTGAAACGTCCTGGCATTGAAATGGCATGAAAATACAAAATTTCAACTCTAAAATATCACTAAATTTCTCTAAATATGGGGAAAACAAAAGTAAAGGAATCAAGTAAGTAGCTACCATGAAATTTAATTTAATCTCTATTCCAACTTAGTATTTTGTAGTAATGATGAATTACACAAGAGGGAGCTGTGACTGGATAAATATATCACATCTTTTCATACTGAGCATTTTCTGTTCAGCATTCACTTAAGAAGGAACAGTTTATGATAGCATGTACTGCATTATTTTTACCAAAAAACGTGGTGTGGGTAAATTTTTTACCTTTTGCAGGAGATTTTTAAAGTGACAGTATAATCTAAATTTTGTCAACACCATTTGTCAAATATTTTAATATTCTTTTGGTGATTTTGGCATGTTTCTGTTTTATTTGCAGGTAGAGACTGAAGCAGAAAAAAATTACTTTGCAAATAAGAACTACAGATTTGCAACCAGTTGTAGCATCCCAACTCAAATCTATTACACCTGTTTGAAATCAAGTTAGGAAAAACAAACAATTATTTGGCGTTGTCCTGAGGTGACTTTATGATGCTTGTATCCCCAGTTGTCTTTTCTGCTTATTCTGGATGTGGAGTTCTGTGCTTTTAAATGAGATCTGAGAGTGAAGGGGGGAGAAGGAGAAGCAGTGGGATATCCGAGATGGCCATATTTAAAAACATAAAAATAGGAACTTCATCTCTCTCTCCCAGTGTGTTCTCTCCCTCGGACAGTGAGAGAGAAACAGGGAGTTTTTCTTTGTTTTTCACTGGTTTTCCTCATTAGCTGCAGCAAGGAAAGTTTCCCAAGACTGTGTCTTTTTTCCTGGGGCTGTTCCAACCTGCTCTGGACCAAAACCCCAGAAAAACACCGGGAGCTCATGCCGCAATGCATCAATTCCCAGCACAGAGGGACAGATAACAGACTGGGTGAGCAGAGCTACAGCACCCAACAAGGACTTTCTGAATTTGCCATTTCTTCAGAACAAAGAGAGGTTCCATTGTTTAATATTATTCATTTTTTTCCCATGTTTGTGAGTACTTTTCTTGTTAAATAAATAGTTTCTTTCACTTTTCTCCAAGGAAATCTTTTCCAAACTGCTTGTGGGAGGGGCTGCTTGAATTTACTTTCTAGAGGAGACCACTTTAGAAGTTTCCTACTAAAAATTTACCCTAAACCAGGACAGGCATTTTCCCCTTGTCCTCCCCCTGCCCCAAATTGTCTCAGAATTGACATGCCGAGCTTCTGGAATTTTAAATAGTTTTAATTTTATGCAGCTATGGGTGAAATCATGTCTTGAGTGAAGTGAATTACATCATTCTCTTTCATCATCAGGTGGGCCAAGTTTACATTTCTTTTTACTTGTTATACATAAATGTTTGCATCCACACACAGACACTTTTTTCATTAGTCATATATAAGTATATGGTTACATTTTGGAAAAAAACCCCAAAACATTAGCACCTACATTTAGTGTGGTATTTTGTGAATTTTGGAAGTTGCTACAAAAATGACAGCTTTGAAAGAAAAGTTAAATGCATACTAATAATCTCATTTCAGTAACCACTTAGAACAGTTACTGGTCAAATCAACCTGAAAAACATCCAGAGGAAGGAAAACTAAGCTGTTTCCAAGAGCAAGGTAACATGAGGAGTATGAAAAACAGACCTTACTCCAGAGTACCCCTCCCCGAACAAGCTCAGAACTCAGTGGGAGGAAGTGTAAGTATCCCACATTCTAGCAGTACAAGGACTTCTCTTCTTCAACAGACAAGCTGAGGGAAGAAGGACCATAAGGGCAGATTATGAAAAGACCATTTGAGGAGAAAGCCAGGCCTTACCATTCAGGAGAAACTCTGAGAAGTAGCTGCACAAAGGAGGTTCACTCATTGACGTCCTCAGAGTCTCACTGCTAGTACAGTTCATTCTGAACATCCTTATTCATTCTTGCCTCTTCCTGGCTTTCTCTCTTAATGAGGAATTATTTACTCCAGTTCCCAGTTGTCCTCTTTTCATGTTCAGCCTGCACATATGTTACCTATGTTGATTTCCATCTCCCACTTGCCCTGCTGCTTTATCTTGTTTTCAGTAAAAAAATTTTGCCCAAGACTGAAAGTGCTGAAAGGGGACCTCACATTATGCAATGATGTCCCTACCTGCAACAATTATGAATTATGTCAGAAGTAAAATAATCTGGACACCTGAATGCCATCAACATTTAAGGTTAAATATATCTCTTACTTCTGTGACTATCTGGATGAAAACTATTTCCAGATGAAGAAAATTGTAAGGAAAAGTATTTAAAGTGTATTTGAAGTGAGAAATTAATGTTAGAGAGTATTTCCTCTGAACCGTAGTTTGAGGATACAATACTTCTTTTAACCCATATTTTATTTGGGTTATGAATTTGTCTCAATTTACCCTCCTATTATTTCACATTTTTTAAGACACTACAGCGGAAAACTAGATAAAACAGTCTTAAAACTTTATTTTTAATTATATAAATTGTTAATTCTACATCTGAAGTTGCTCCATATACATATTTCTTGGGAACAGATTATGAAAGCTAAATTATTCAGGTTTGAATATTTACATGCTACAAATCATCAGTATTATGTTTGAAATATTCTAAAACGTTTTGGTTTTGTGAAAAGTATTAATTCAATTTGGTTTTTACATTCATTAGTGCTATGGTCAAATAAGTTTTTCCAATGAAATTTTGGAACAGTTCTCAAAGTATAGCAGTATACAGCATACCGCTCTTCTCAGGGTCACAAGACCTGCCAGCAAACTGCTCCAGCTTGGGCTTCTCCTTCCATGGGGCCACAGATCCTGCCAGGACCCTGCTGCAGTGTGGACTTCCACCTCCTCTGGCCATCCACCAGCTCTGGCACGGAGTCCTTCATCAGCTGGAGGTGGACATCTGCTCCACCACGGACAGCAGCAACAGATAGACAGTTTCCCTCACCGTAGTCTTCACATGGGCTACTGGGAGATTTCCCAGCATCTGGAGCACTGCCTCCCCTGCTTCTTCACTGACCATGGTGTCTGTGGAGCTGTTTCCTTTATGTTTTCTCAGTCCTGTCTCCAGCTACTGCTCTGCACCATTTTTTTCACCCATCTTAAATACCTTATCCCAGAGGCGTTACAGCTGTCCTGATGGGCTCAGCCGGAGGCAGTTCCACCTTGGAGCTGACTGGCATTG